TGAGCGAGTATAGAAGATTGGTTGGAAAATTGAATTATCTTACGAGTTACTCGTCACGACATTTTCTTTGCGATCGGTGTGGTAAGCCAATTTCTTAATTCCCCATGTGAAGATCATTAGAATGTAGTCATTCGTATCTTAAAGTATATTAAAGGATCTCCTGGAAAAGGATTGTTATATGATTCTAATAACCATACAAGAGTTGTTTACTACTCAGATGTTGATTGGGCAGGATCTCCTTCGGATAGAAGATCTACATCTGGATATTGTGTCTCCATTGGTGGTAACTTGGTCTCATGGAAAAGTAAGAAACAAAGTGTTGTGGCAAGATCTAGTGCGAAGCGAGAATATAGAGCTATGGCCTCAGCTGCTTGTGAACTTGTTTGGCTCAAGCAATTGCTTAGAGAGTTACAATTTGGAGATGTCACTCAAATGTCACTTGTGTGTGACAATCAGGTTGCTCTTCATATTAGTTCTAATCCTGTCTTTCATGAGAGGACCAAACACATTGAGATTGACTTGCCATTTCATTCGAGAAAAGATTATGTCTGGAGACATCAAGGCTGAGTTTGTTAACTCAAGTGATCAGTTAGCGAGATATTTTTACTAAATCTTTACGGGGTCCTAGAATTGATTATATTTGTAACAAGCTTGGCACATACAATTTGTATGCTCCGACTTGAGGGGAGTGTTAGATATTGTTTAGATATTATTTAATATTGTTAAGATATTGTTAGATATTAACCATAATATCAAACAATATCTTCTGTTTATTCTGTTACTTTCGAGTTACTCTTTTAGTTGTATCTCTCTATTATAAATAGACTACCCTATGTGTGATTTATACACAAGGGAGATTAATCCCAAACTCTATTTCTTCTATATTCAACAGTAACGTTCTACAAGTGGACTGCACAAGAAAACTTGGGCTTTCAAGAAGAGTGAAGCTTGACAACATCAATTTGAACATTTCTTTCCATCAGTTTGACTTATCTCAAATTACCTCTCTTACAAAAGAAGAAAAAGAAATATGCTCTATGGATGTATACATGTATATTATTTATCATGTTAAAACTATGTAAAATGTAACAAATTAAGAAAAATTGAATTATGCTATGCTTTTAATGAAAACATGTTAAATGCATGGTTTATGAAGAAAATACTCTTAGATCAAGAAATAAAGAGTAAAATGACATACATCATAGTGGTATTCATCTTAGTAAGAATCCAATTTTTTATTTTAGGTCCAAACATATTGATGTAAGGTATCATTGGATAGGTGGTGCTTTGGATGCTAAGTTATTGGAGTTAGACAAAGTTTATACATATTACAGATGTTGATATGATGACTAAGTCATTATTAAGATAGAAGTTTGAAGCTTGTTATGAGATTGACAAATTGGTGGTTACCTTCACATAATTATGAGAGAAGAGATGTGTTGGGTTGAGTTTTCAACTATTTATCTAAAATGTTCAAATTAGTTAAAATCATTTTATCTTACTTAACCTAAATGGAGAGGGTATTCTAAGTCAGAATAGAGAGTAAATTTCTTAATCTTTGGAAGAGAAAAGTGTTTAACTAATTTACTAAGTCATCTCAGTAAAATTATGATTTCTACTTTGTTCACCGTTAGATCGAGCTGACATTTGATAATAGGTTTGAAGCATAATGTTCTTCATTTTGACCATTGGGATTGTCAGTTGGAGGTTAGTGGCTAGAGATATCAGTCTCGCCCTATGGTTGAAAAGTTTTTCTTTCTTTATTCTTCAAATTTGCGAGTATTATTGTTTTGATATATTGGCTCCTTATAGAAACTTGTTTGTACATTTGATTTTCGACTCTCATGTACTCATATTTTGATCTTATTAGAGTTTGATTGACTAACTTGTACCTGTAGATTTTTATTTCTCATATTGAAGGGGTTTCCACGTTAAAAACAATAATGATGTTCCCTTTGACGATTATTCTTGTTATTTTCTATTGTTGTTACTTCTCACGTATTGTTGCTCTTTTTTATTTGTGGTTATGTTTTATTTTCCCTATCAAAATTAATTTTTAATCTTATATGCTCATGCAATTAATTAAAATATGTTAAGCATTGGTCAATTATTAGAGAAAATTTAAATTTATCTTTAGACCACAAATTTGTATGATTAAATATTCAAACAACTTGATATATTCAAAGTTCTTATAAAAGACAAGTTTTTCTTTAAATTTGATGAAATAAAAATTGACTACAAATAAATATTCAAAAGAAGAAACAAAATCAAACAAAACATCATGGTACATATTTCTTGAAGAAACTTGATATTTAGGAGAATAATGAAGATATAGATAAATAATTGCAGACCCCAAATCTTGCCCGGCCTAACAATAAAGACCAGAAGACCTCCTTTTCGAAGATGGACGAAGCCTAAGAAGCCATTAGGAGAGACTATTAGGCCCCATACTAGGATAGGAGGGATTTTTGGCTCAAAAATAAGGATTTTCGCCTTTTAAGGTCGAGACCGCCGTCTCGTTTGGCGAGACGGCCGTCTCGCCACTCGCGAATGGCGAGACCGCCGTCTCGTTTGTCAAGACCGCCGTCTCGACTGGCGAGACCGCCGTCTCGACCTTGTCAGACGAGACGACCCGTCTCGACCTGACAGGCGCGAATACCTATAAATAGGGCCCCTATTCCCCTCATTTCCAAGAAGTTCTTCCTCCTTCTCTCTAGAAATCACTTTAAATTCTCTCTCTAGAACCCCTCCGAAGCATTTCCAGAGTTTTTGAGCGTTTCTAAGAGTGTTTTTTAGCGTTTCGAGAGGTTTCCGACGCTGTAGAGTGAAGGGTTGCCGCAAAACACCCTATTTTTAGAAAGAATTAATAAGAAAAGCTTGCTTCGGAGGTTTATACTCTCTCTATCTACTTTTACCGCTTTAATTTTAATTGTGCAATAGAGATTAGGGTCATGTAGTCATATCTTTAAATTCCACAAAATAAAAGGGTAAAAACGTATTTTCCGGTTTATTTATCCAAAGTAGCTAGCCTATCATAGGGAACCCGAAAGGGGCGTCGTAAATGAACTAACACTTCCTTTACGCGTAACTAACTCCCTTACCCAACTCTGGATCTAATGACCAAAGTTGGTTTTTCGAAAACCAACGTCTTTTTTACTCCTTTTCCGATGTTTCGGTAAAAACATCGGTGGCGACTCCAAAGAACCCTTCAAAACTAGCTCTTGGATTAGTCCGGTTATTGGACAATCCAAGAGCGCCCTTTCGAAAATCTCGCCCCTAGGTTCAGCCCGGTTATCGGACAACCTAAAGGCGTTGTACCACACCAATAAAAACGCGAAAAACGGAAAGTCGGAAACCATCGCGTCGCTCTGACCGCCCTCGTTTTTTGATGGCGGCGACAATAATCACCTTTCCACATCCATCAAAGATTTAAATTTTTTTATCATGAAGTCCAAACAAATAAAGAATATGAAATGACAATGGAAGAAAACACATGTCAAATTAAATGAAGATGTAATCACGTATAAAAAAGAACAATATATGAATTATAAGGGGAAAATAAAGGAAAAAAAAGAGAAAAACAAGAAGGAAACAAGTATAAAAAGAGAAAAAATAAATTTGAAATTCAAATAAACAAATATAAATTAACGAGAAGTGTTGAGAATATATTTTAGTTATTTTTATTTACATTTTTTATTATAATATTTTTATGTTTCTGTTTAAATATATATTATATTATTATTTAAATTTAAAAAAATAAGATTGATATATTGTTAATATCTTATTATATTTTTATATTATATGTGCACAAAATTAAATATTAAAATTCTTTCGTATAATATATTTCTTAACTTTATAAAACATATTTTAAAAAAACGAGAAATAAGAGTACTTCCTAACTCTTTGGAAGGACCAAATTTAAAGGAGATATAAGGAATGTCTTGTGGTGTGCTGCTGTCACAGAGTTGAGAAATAACTGTACTTTTAATTCGGAGGTGGTGAATCTTTAACTTTTATTGGAGAATATCAAATTCACAGCATGCATCTGGAATTCAATTTCTCTTACGTGCAATGGATATATAAATATTCCAAGTTGTTTACCTGGCTAATTGGAGTTATTTTATACATCACAGTTTTGGCAGCAGAGTTTTGATTGCAGGGGGGGATAAACGTATTTGCATAATTATGTGAAATGTTGGGAGGGGTAGTTTTTCTTCTCAATGGCTTGTGCAGGGTATTTGAAATCCTTTGGGACCATTCTCTTTATACACAGGGTTAAGTTTGGCTCTCACATCACAACAAACTACCAGAAAAAAATAACTTCACCATAACTTTATTTTTTGGGTGGTCCAATTACTTATTTTCATTCATTCCAATTGCCATAAATTTAAACTCTTTTTGGTAGGTTATTATTTCAAACATTTGACACTTCATTCTAACATGCTACCATACACACCACAAAATGTTTCTAATGTCAGATGATACATTTGTAGCTGTGTTTCTGATTAGATTTTCTTTGTTTCCGGGTCAGCAGTGTCGTGACTCAGCCTTGGTGAATCTTCAAAAACTCATTCAACCAAAATTGAAAAAGTAAATATTGAGTGAATAATAGAAGATTAACATAATATTGCAAGTATTAGAAATTTAGATAGGAACTTTAATTTCAATATTTATAAACATTCAATCAATATTATAGGAAAATATGAATAGCTCCTCCAATACCAATCACCATCATCACATTTGCATTACAAAATTTTCACTGGAAAATAATAGGGTAATGAAACCTTAATTCAATGTTCTCCTAGGATTGTGCTAGAAGTCAGTACAAAAACTTTCAATGATAAACGAATCATACCAAAACATAAAATTGTACTTCCATAAACTTTGAATTTTCTCACCTTACCGGTACATTTTATATGCATGGTAAAACTGAAGTGTATTCAAATTAACAAACTGATTTACAATGCTCAGTAGCCACCCTTAAGAAAAAAACAATGCTTTTATCCTTTAAACTGCCATTCACGACGGCACATAGGGCAATGCGCCTGTGATGTCTGAGAGTTCACCCATTTCAGGATACAGTGCAAATGAAATGCATGATTGCACACACCCCAAACTGCAACAAAAGAAAGAGTAAGTTTAATTCATTTCAGGTATAAAGAATTACATAACCCTGCAATTTGATAAGCAAATCCTGATATCAGGAAAAAAGACATTATCCATACATTAATTCAAACATTTTTTCAGGGGGTGTCAAGCATGAATTTATAGCCCATAATAAAATATTGCCATCTTACTGCTCTCTTAAAAAGTTCTTTGTCCTGTGAGACAGTTCGGGCATAAACCAAAATAACAGCAACACACTAACACTCCTCTACCATTGAGTGAAATTTGTAAGAATCTCAATAAATAAATAACGAACTTCTCGTGAATTTCACCTAATAGAAGGGTGTGTTAGAAAGAATGTATCATTGCTAGACTATATCTTTTGCATGAATGTCATGCATTCATGTCACTTATGTCATCAACAACAACAGTGTCTTTGCAGTAGTTCAACACATTCAAATCAGGGGAACTATAGAAGTTTGAACTTGCATTATCATTATAAATTAGGAACTACAAACCATGTAGTTTTAGAGATAATTGAAAAATTTAGAAAATTAACAAAAATTGGCCATAATGATTTAATGTCCTACGTGTGTGGAGATGAAAAAAAAATAAAAAATAAATAAAAGGACCCCCTTTTCAGAAACACACAAACTAATAGGCAAAGCTTGAAAACTTCATTGATTCATTCACACCAGTTGATGCTTAGTTAAATGAGGCCCAAGGTATGATATTACACTATACAACTTTTTTTTATGCTTCCTTCAGAACTCAAAATAGGACCAATTCCCACACAATTTCAAATAACAGAACAAATAAAAATCACCATGTGTAGTTGAGTTTTAACTCTATATTACTAGCATAGAACACCCAAAGTACAATGATTGATCGATAGATTTAACTAGAACAAGTTGGTTCAAATATATTAACAATGTAGGTCACCATATAAAATTGTGAGGAGCTTACTCAGCGGACAGTCGTCCCCTGGAAGTTTACAGTCAGGACAACATCCATCAAAGGCCATTCTACAGATACCACACGTTTCATCCTGAGCATCCCAAGTCCAAGAAGCAACACCATGCCATCTACATTTAACAAAAAGGAACAAAAAATTTGGCAAGAGCTTGATTTATATACAAATGAAAAGAAAAAAAAAAAGTTAAGGAGACTAATAATTCAGAACAAAAATAGGGCTCAATTAAATTCTCCATGTTCAATAGAAATTTGGAGCAAGACAAAAGGCAATTGCACTCAATGTCACACTAAGTCCTTCAATACAACATAAATAATTTTCCATCAACTTTTGTAGTCCTAAGAATTATTTTCACTCCCTCCTTACTTTTCATCTTCTCCAACCTTGACTGTTGAAACATAGTAATTTAAACAAACGAGAAAGCTTCAGTCATGAATATATTTGAAAGATGAACTAAAACAAATTCATCTACTCATAAAAGTAGAAAGTAAAAAGGAGAACTTACTCTGTTCAGAAATTCAGCAGGTACCCAAACAGAGACCTTGGTCAAGAAAAACATCATTCTTTTATTTTTTATTTAATTTGTTTTCTGCAATGAAAATTTGAAAAGCCATACAATACCTAAGCAAAGATGCAAACATCAATCAAAGGATAAAAGGTAAAATGAAGAATGGGATCTTGAGAAGGATACGCAAGATCTTCACTTTCATCTCCGATTCGGTGCCAGCAATAACAATTGCGATTAGAAAATGAGGGTAGGGTTTGTGTAAATTCGAATTGGAGAAGAAAATTTGAAATTCGAAATGGGTTAAGAGTGGATCTATGATGCGCGCAGCTTTTTGAACCAATTCTTAGCCCCATTTTATTTCTCTGACTGACGTCTTGTCTTAGGGATCATTTTGCAAATAGTGGACTGGATTTGCAATTTAATTCACCTTACACAGTAGTCGATAGTTAATATGTTGTTGGTAAACAGTTCTGACACTAATTTCTGGTTCATCATTAGTTGACATAGATAAAAAATCATCACAAAGAAAAAAATGAAAATCAATTAAAATTTGAAAGTTACTTAAATTCATTTTTTTTATTTTAAATTTTATATTTTCTCAACATAAATTAAATATAAAATATTGAACTAAATTGAATTAAACAGCTCATTATATTTAGAATTAATTAATAAATATATTTAAATATATTTATTAAAAATTTATTTTTATTTAATTATATTTTATTATAATTAATATATTTATATATATCAATAAACCAAGGACTTCTTTTGTTGTGCAAGCAAGACTAGTTGGATTAGTTCACTTTTTTAGTTGGACTAGTCCACTGAGGATATATATTTACTTATGCAACCTTTTTAATTATATCTATATCGGACGAGTTCATTTAATTTAATTCTTTATTTTTAATTATTTATTATTATATATAACGGGTAAGAATATCATTTCTTTCTATAGGAAAAAGAAGTCATTTATACATTTTGGATCCAATTTCTATAATTGATACTAATAGGAACTAAACTATTATGACAAGGAAAAGTGTGATTAAGAGGGAGAAGAAGAGATAAATTTTGAAATAGAAATATTATTTGATTCGTTGATCCTAACAAAAATAAATAGGCAAAGTTTCATTGTTAAGTGATAAATGGAAAATTCATGGAAAAATAGGATCACTACCGCATAATAATGCACCTGTACGCGTTCATCAATGTTGTTTTTCGACCAAAAAAAGAGATTGAAACTAAGGGTGAAGACATAATTGAATCAAAGTTAAAATGTGAATTTAAAGAGATAAATTAGAATATGTGGAACGAGGGTACAAGTTGCAAAGGCTTAAGAAAATGTTCGAAGACACGTATCATAAAAAAGAAATTGAATTGAGTAAATGAGAAATCAAGTTAAAAGGGTATAGTTCAATCAGTCGAACGTCGAAAATCGAAGAGTTGAAAATATCGAATCTAGTGTTATGAATCGAAAGGAAGAAAATAACGAGAGGAAGTTATATATGCAATTAAGAAATATACAAAAACAATTATTGCACTATTATGTGATATGAACCCTTATGGTTGTCACATGGCAACAAAGTGGATTGAGGAAGAGAGAAACAATTATAAAAAAGTAACCATTTGTGGATTTTCATTTATATTTTGGTATATTTTATTTGACTTTATTTTAATGTTATTTTTTTATATATATATTTAAATGTTTTAGTGACTACATATGAAAAATATAAATAAGGTTAAATAAATGTAAAAAATGGTGATTTTCAAATTGTATGAAAACTTACATTATGAAAAAACTATTACGAACAAAGGACAAATATTTTTAAATAAAATTATTTACAATTTTGATCCTCATTTATATTGATTTCTTTTATCGATTCATGTTTTATCCTTGGTAAGTGTTAGAGTTATGTTTAAGTAATTTGTTTTCTTTATATATTTACTTTATAATATTTTTTGTTTATTGTAGATTTATTATTTTTTAATTTACTTTAATGTTACAAATTATATTGAAAACTCAAATTATATGGTTTTTAATAGAAATACAGTGTGTCTTGATAATTACATAATTAATGTTGATTGTGTACAAATTTAAAAATTCGTGTTTGACAATAAAAATAAAAGAATTCACATAGTATTTAAATAATACATAGCATACTTTAGATATATATTTATTTAGAATCATTTACACTAAAAATAATAAGATAACAAGTTTATATTACAATTTTTTATTATTAAATTATTTAATTTATTTTAAAATATGATAAAAATATATTATATAATAAATATGTTATACAAAACATAGCTTTGTGCTATATGGGGGCGTTTCTTTTCTTATGAATTTAATTAAATTTATTAATTATTTTTTGTTTTATCGCCAAAAGTTTTGTCATCCAAACCCATCTATCATTAATCTTATGCTTGATTATATAGAAAAATATGTCAATAATTAAGAGAAATTTATTGTGTTTTGATCATCCAAACCCATCCAAACCCATCTATCATTAATCTTATGCTTGATTTTGTGTTTTGATGTTTGCTTTGAGTTTTAAAAAACTTTAGATTAATCAATGAATTATGAAATTTTTAAGTCTATTTTTTTTAATTGTATCTCAATAATTTCTTTTAGTATTTTTATAATTAAAATAAATCTTATTTTATTTTTGTATTTATCTTCTTTCAGCTTTCTTATTTTTTTGCTTTTTTAAGAAAAAACTCTGAACCATTATATATTTTTTTATTCTAGCATTTATTGTTATTTTAAAGGATTTATTAGATAAAAAGTTATTAGTTTACAGGAAATATAAAAGAAATGTAATTGTAAATATAATATAAAGGAAATGTAATTGTAAATAAATAAAAATTGTAGTAATTTAGTGGTTGGTCTGACTCTAGACTCCTGTCAATGACAATTCTCGTAAAAAGTTCATTACTTTTTATGTCGGTTCATAACAATTGACGTAAAAAATCATACTTTCTGTGACCTCAGTATCTATATCGCCTTTTTAACCAATATAGAAAACTCATTTTAACCGACATAGAAAGTCTTTTCTGCAGTAGTGTGTATTTTTGGATAGTTGTTTCCAAAAATAATTCTAATATAATCCAAAATGGAATTATAAATTCTAGAATAACTAATCTAAAAATATTTCAAAAACATTAGAAGTGTGTTCAAGAATAGACCAATTTAAAAAGTTTTTTTATTCGATTTTCTAGATTATTGAATCTAAAATAAAGTTTTAGAAAACACCAGAAAATTTTTTTTACAGGTTAACCTAAAAAATCTTCGAATTTTCTTTTTTAAGACTCAACAGTCTAGATTATACAAAAACTTCAGATACGTTTTTTCACAGAATTTTTGGATATATAAGATATTATGTAATTCAAAGCATAAATCATCAACAAAATTCTAACTTGATAGTAAAAATAAAGTTCTTGAATAACAAAGACGCAATTGAAAAGATGTGGTACAAAAAAAGAAGAAGGAAAGTGTACTTCCTATTAAGATTTCACATATAAAATATCATTTTACATATGTCATGGAATCATGGGCTGCAGAAACACTAGTGCAAAAAGGGACTTTTATGTCAGGTATTTAGGGCTTTTTACGTCGTATTTAAGTCCGACGTTAAAGCGGGAGACGTAAATTTACGTCGGACCCTTTTGCCCGACGTAGATTTACGTCAGTTATCAAGATCCGACGTAGATTTACAATAAATAGACGTAAAAACCTTTTCAATTTATACACGACGTAAATTTTCGTCGCATATACCAATACGCGACGTAAATTTACGTCGCATATACCAATACGCGACGTAAATTTACGTCGCATATACCAATATGCGACGTAAATTTACGTCGCATATTGGTATATGCGACGTAAATTTACTTGTTTTTTTTAAAATTGGGTTTATTTATTCTGTTTTACAACTAAAACCTACAAATAGTAATCCAGACAGATCCAGAGGTTCAGTTTTCTTTAGCTAGTAAATTAAAAATATAATATTATATAATTCAAACTACATAATAAAACAATATAATACAAACATACAAACTAAAAAATCTATTACAAACTAAGCTACCTATACAAACTAAGCTACCTATACAAACTAAGCTAAACTACATAATACACACAATATAATATGAACAAGAACTTAAAAAATAATGTACTAGAATTGTTGAACAAAAAATTTTGCCCATTGTTCTCTAATTTCGTAATCTCAGATTCTCGTAATGGAGATGGATCTTGAAATACCTGAAACATGAATTTGACTCTTGTAAGCATGCAACATGAATAAAGTTAAATAAACTTAACTAATGTTAAAAGTAATTACCTCCAGTCCAAGAATCAATTAAACCCGCACAAACTATGGCTCTCATCCAATACATTACATAATAACCACATTCAAACGAGTCAGTTTGCTTATTACACTGAAATGATGAAAAAAACATAATATTATTTTCAAAATTGAAATACAAACAATAATTATGGTATTCACTTATATAAATAAGTTTCTAACCTTAGGATAAATGAACTGCAAAGTCTTTGTTCTAGGTTTTCCACTTAGAACATTAGTTCCGATACACGATTCTAAGTGAAAAAAAGTCATATATTATTCAATATGTATTCACAATTTAAAAACATAATTAATGAATAAAAGATAAAGTTACCCTTGTAATAAGCTTTTCATTTCTTGACTCGGTTTCCGATGTAATGAACAAAACCACACCACGAGTGTAATCCCGGGGCATGATTACAATTAACTGCCAATGGGACCTACATTGTATGACATAAAAATTAGTTACAAAAATATAAATTAAAATACAAATTAAAATACTAACCCTTCAATGTATGGAGCCAAATATATATGTCTTCTTGAGTCACTCATCCATGTTTGCATATATTGTTGGATTCCAACCTTTGTATTTCCAGATTTTTGGATGGATTGAGGCTCAATAAATCCAGTACACTTCGAATTTTTCTTGTTCCACACTCAAATTGTCAAGGTACCTAAAACAATTAATTATAAGTGGAATATAATTATTATAATCTTAGAAACATAAATGAAAATGACTTACATTGCCCACAATTGTATGATGGAAATGTTTAACATGCAATTTCCCCCAGCAATTTCTAAAGCATCGGGCAAGGAAATGTACAATGGAACACTGGGTATGATTATTTATGGCAAATAATCTTTTAAACCTAGGTATAATTGGCAAATACCATAACACCTTAGCAGGGGGACCATCTACTTCTTCCTCACCACTACTTTCCTCAACTTTGTTTTTGAACCTCGACAAACCACATGTCGGACACATCTTTAATTTAGCAAAATCCTTTCTGTACAAT